AAAGTTGGGGGATGGAAGTTTGGGGAGGGAAATTTGGGGAGGGGAATCTGGGGATGGAAATTTGGGGAGGGGAATCTGGGGATGGAACTTGGGAGGGGAAGTTTGGGCAGGGAAATTTGGGGAGGGAAATTTGGGGATGGAAGTTTGGGGAGGGAAATTGGGAGAGAAATTTGGGGAGGGGAATCTGGGGATGGAAATTGGGAAGGGAAATTTGGGCAGGGGAATTTGGGGAGGGAAATTTGGGGAGGGAAATTGGGAAGGGAAATTTGGGGATGGAAATTGGGAGGGGAAATTTGGGGAGGGAAATTTGGGAGGGAAATTTGGGAGGGGAAATTTGGGGATGGAAATTTGGGGAGGGAAATTTGGGAGGGGAAGTTTGGGAAGGGAAATTTGGGGATGGAAATTTGGGGATGGAAGTTTTGGGGGAAAAGTTTGGGGATAGAAATTTGGGGAGGGGAAGTTTGGACAGGGAAATTTGGGGAGGGAAATTGGGAAGGGAAATTTGGGGATGGAACTTGGGAGGGGAAGTTTGGGGAGGGAAATTTGGGGAGGGAAATTGGGAGGGGAAATTTGGGGAGGGAAATTTGGGGGGGAAATTGGGAGGGAAATTTGGGGAGGGAAATTGGGAAGGGAAATTTGGGGGGGGAATTGAGATGGGAAGTTTGGGAAGGGAAATTTGGGGATGGAAATTTGGGGGGGCAAAGCTTTGAGGGGGGAAATGGAAAGAAGAAGGGAAAAGGATTTGGGAAAGGAAAGCTTTGGAGGAGAAGTTTTGGGAGGAAAGGAAAAATTCGGAAGGGGAGGAAAATTTTGGGAAAGAAAATTTCATGGGGAAAATTGGGGTCGGAGGTGGGGGGAAAATTCCATGTGGAGGAAAAATTTCGGGATGAAATTTTGGGTCTTTTTTCCCCTTTTTCAGGTGACATTCAGTGACAGCGACCCCGAGGAGCCCCAAATCCCCCCGGATCCCCCCAAAACCACCCGGAAAAATTCCTGTGCCCGGAGGGTCCGGCCCCAAAAATCCCCCGGGAATTCCCCGGGAATTGAGGCTCGGCCCCGACGGGGGCGGCCCCGGAAGGAGCCTGGGACCCCCAAAAAGAGGGAAAAAAGGGGGATCGACCAGGTGGAAAATGTGGGAAAGAAGGAAAAAACTGGAAACCCCAAAATGGAAAAAGAGGAAAAAACGGGAAAGCCCGAAATGGAAAAAGAGGAAAAAACGGGAAACCCCAAAACGGAAACTTTGGAAAAGAAGGAAAAGAGAAACTCCAAGAAAATTCTGGAAAAGAAGGAGAACAGGGCCCCGGGCCGGGAAAAGAGGGAGAGGGGGACGCCCCGAATCGGAATTTTGGAGGGAAAGAAGAGCTGGGAATTTTCTGGGATCGAGGAACGGGATCCCCTGAGGGCCGTGGAGGAGGAGGAGGAGGAGGAGGAGGAGGAAGAGCTGAGCTTCGAGCTCCCCCCGCTGCCCCCAGGTGAGTCTGGGGGGTTTTGGGGGACCCCAAAATTGCCTTTTCGGACCCCAAAACCGCCCCATCCGTGTCCTTCCTTTTCCAGGTGGGGCCAGCAAGGAAATTCCAGGGATTGGGGATCAGGGGGATCCCCCAAATCCAGAGGGATCCAACCCCTCTGTCCCGCCCGGTGAGCAGCTGGAATTTGGGGGGG